TTATTCTTAAAGCATAGAGTTCTATTGGTGTTAGTTTGTTACATTTCATTCTATACACTACAGCCTTCCTGGTTCCTCCTGTTTCCAGTCCTGAAGAACAGAGCTAAACTGAAACTTGGAGGTCAGAAAAACTTCAAACCCTTGATGAGACCACCAGACATTGAAAGGCAGGACACTAGCATCTTTAGCCCCCCATATCAGTAACCAGCTGGACCCCCGTGCTTTGCTACGAAACTATGTGATCGGGCATGATAAATTGACACTTAAAGCCTGAAACTTAATGTAGAATGTGTAACTCCATAGCATCAGAGTCAGTGGTGGGTTTCAAATTTTTTTACTCCCGGTTCTGTGGGTGTGGCTTGGTGGGCGTGGTATGGCTTGGTGGATGTGGCTTGGTGGGCATGGCAGGGGAAGGATACTGTAAAATCTCCATCCCCACCCCACTCCAGTGGAAGGATACTGTAAAATTTCCATTCCCTCCCCACTCCAGGGGAAGGATACTGCAAAAGCCCCATTTCCTCCCGATCAGCTGGGACTTGGGAGGCAGAGAATAGATGGGGGTAGGGCAGGTAGAATTTTTACTACTGGTTCTCCGAACTACTCAAAATGTTCGCTACTGGTTTTCCAGAACTGGTCAGAACCTGCTGAAACCCACCTCTGATCAGAGGCAACTGGCAGTTGGAACAGAGGGGGAAGGGGAGTAGAATGTCCCGCCTGCAGGCTGGATGAGTCACGTGCTGGCCACACCCATGTCCAATTTAGTGAAGGGTAGCATCAGAGTGTGTTAATATAAGGCAACTGGCAGTTGGAACAGAGGGGGAAGGGGAGTAGAATGTCCCAGCCTGCAGGCTGGATGAGTCACGTGCTGGCCACACCCATGTCCAATTTAGTGAAGGTAGCATCAGAGTGTGTTAATATAAGGCAACTGGCAGTTGGAACAGAATTCCTTTCAGGTGGTGAGGGGGAGTAGAATGTCTAACTCCTTAGCATCAGTGTGTGAATATAACACTGTATATGAAATACTAATGATCTGAGGGTCATTTTGAAACATCCTTTCATAGTGAGCCAAGAGGAACATACAGGCCAAATTTCAAGATTGTAGGCTTTACCGTTCCGGAGATTTTGTGATGAATGAGTGGTATTTGGCTTTTATATATATAGAAGTACAGAAAGAACATAGTCCCCATTATGAGAATAGTAATAGCAATAGCACTTATATACCGTTTCATAGTGCTTTACAGTTCTCTTTAAGCGGTTTACAGTGTCAGCACATTGCTCCCAACAATCTGGGTCGATCTTAGAAGGATGAAAGTCTGAGTCAACCTTCAGCAGGTCAGAATCGAACTCCTGGCAGTGAGCAGTGAGTTAGCCCGCAATACTGTATTCTAACCAGTGTACTACCATGGCTCTTTGTACCACAGCTATTTATCTCTTTGGGGTAAAATTATAAAATGAATTCCACCATCAAATTGAAAAAGGCTGGATGAAAGATGAAGTATTTTGATACAATAGTCTTTATATTTCAGCTTCCCAGTGTTTTTTTTTTCCTACATATCCATATTTACACGACTAAATAGAGAGTTCATCAGGCATTCTGAGACTTGAAGTCCAACTCACATGGCAGGTCTAGGATGTTGCAGAAACCCAGCCAATTGTGGCTTATCGCTTTGCTGTGTTGATTAACAAAGCATTGTTAAACAAGATGCAACTTAGCAAGAAGCATTTTAAGAGGAGGTTTGCCAGGAATGTCAAGTGGCAGATAAACATGGTCAGTCATTAGTAGAAAGGTAACTAAGGAAAACCTCAAATTAAAGGACAACTCCCTGAGTAGCAGGAGAAGATTGGAAAGTCTGAGTTAACATTTATGGCATCTCAGGGGGAGAGAAACTATTGTGCCAGGGCAATAGGTGCAGCTGGGCAGTTACTTTGTGCCTGGCAGTGCATTTGGGCTGGGCTGCTATTGTATATCAAATTCCAAGGACATGAAAGCTTGGACATGCTAATAACCCCAGGAAAAAAAAAACAGCAACTTTCTATTGTTGGTATAACTGCTAAAATGACTTGCTCTCAAGCCAGGAGCATAATTGGCTTGATTAGTAGTTGTACATGAAAGAAACAAAACAGGGCCCCCATATGGCTTTTGAGTTATACAGTGAATGCAGGCGGGAATTCATTAAGAGAGACCACAACAATAAGAGCAGGAGACAGAAATACACTCTCAGTATAGAAGTGTTACAAATGATCTTTGATTTCAAGGATGTCTGCCCATTCAAGGCTTATATAAGGCTGATTGGTTTATAACAGAATAACAGATTTGGAGGGGACTTCGGCATTCTTCTAGTTCATCCTACTCTTCAAGCAGGAGACCCTATACTATTCCAGACAATGGCTGTCCAGGCTCTTGTTAAACGCCTCCAGTGATGGAGAACCCACAACTTCTGGAATGGCTTGCCTTCAGAAGTTGTAGGTTATCACAGAGTTTAGAGTTTCAGAAATTGTATGGTTATCCCAGAGCTTATTAAAAAAGAATTGAATGTAATCAACCCCTGGTAGATTTGTAGGCTTTTTCATGGTAGGGTGAGCCTTTCCCACTGCTACATAATCATAGGAACTGATTACTCGGAAAGGCTTTCAAATTAAAATGCCTTGGCAAGACTGGATACTACACCTTCTTGAGGAAGAAAAGCATATACCTTATTTGACAGCCTAAAAGATGGTATCCGTTTCCTATCCTGATTAATCCCTTCTACCTTAAAGAACACTTGGCCTTGTACAAGACATTAGACTGTACAGTATATACACTCACACCCTTTTTGTGTTTTTAAGTGGGTGTAACCATGAAAAATGTACCTTCATATTGAAACAATCCATAGAAACAATTCAAAAAATATGAGATTGATTTTTACATGTATTTATTGTACCTGCATAAAGTTTTGCAAATTGTTGAACACATAACTTGTACCCTGTTGTATTCCAAGAGCCTCAGAAGAGTTCAGTTTGCCCATCTACTTTGATAATTTCTCATTCCTATGTGCCTGTTTTCTACTTAGTGCCTGCTGTGATACTAGTTTCATACACAAGAAAAGGATGTCTCATATGCAAACTTCTACAAACCATAGTACCTGGAACAGATGAAAGTTTAAGTCAAAGCATCTGAGATCTCCAGATTGCCTGCTTCTGCACTAAAGTGTATACTACTTACCAATTTAACCACATGATACTGTTGGTGGTGACAGTGAAAAAAACCCGAGCAATCTTATCTAGGATATTTTGGGTACTGAAGTCCAACTCACCAAGGTTGAGCAAGCTCATGTGGATTTTCTATTTTAACTTCTAGAATGCTCCCAATACCCCAAGTGTTGAAACTTAAAAAACATAGCTGCTTCTTTGACTATCTCTCTGTGTATGTTAGAATCTAAATAGTCTGCTTTCATCTTTGAGGGGAAACACCTGCATGATTCTAGTCAAGAAACAACAGGATAAGGATTCACAGTCAAGTTATAAAACTGCTCTTGGCTGTTCAACCACAAACTCAACTTTTAGCCAGCTGTGTCAAGTTAGTACTACTAGGGCAATCTCTCAATAACCTAAGACAGCTTTCCTCAACATGAATGGAACATGTAATGTCAAGCTATAGCCACATTTGAAACTAAGCAAATTGGGATTTGGTCATTTCCTGGGAATTTTATGCCTACCATTTTGAGTTCCACTAGATGACAGCAGAGCAAAAAATGGTAACGACAACTCAGAAAACGTAACTGAACCAGAATGCATGAGATTTAGCAATATACAGCAGCACTAGTGTTCTGGCTGCTCCACTGTCAATTACTTGATAGGCTCAACTCGATGTGCTAATTTCCAAATACACAGCCCTATGGGACTCAGCCCCTGTGACATTATTTACATAAACATTGCCGATTGGATACAGACTGGTATTGCATTCTGCCCAAGAAGTAATGCTGAGGGTCTCACTTTGTGTGAAAAGGGTGAAGGCCTCTAACTTACTAGGTTTCAAGGAGAGGAAGTCATCTTCTTCCAGCAGACACCAAGTCAATAGATGGATGTGCTGTGTTGCCTTTTTTTCCTCACCTGGTTTTGATTTTATGGGATATGAACTAGCCAGTTTGGTGCAGTGGTTAAGGTACCAGGCTAGAAACCAGGAGACAATCAGTTCTAGTCCTACTTTAGGCATGAAAGCTGGCTGGGTGACTTTAGGCCAGTCACTTTCTCTCAGCCCATGAGTTCAGGCTCAGGTCACAAGCCAATTGTCAATTCTGTTGAAACCAATGAATCAACACTCAGTTGATCAACAACAAAAGTGGACCCTGCATTTGCAGGGAATCTTCTAGGAAGAAAAAAAGTATTAGCTGGTCAATTGAGTTGTGACTGTGTTTTATACATGCATGCTTTTATATACTACCTAAAGTGGGTAGTATATAAAACAGTAAATAAAATCAATTAAAAATCCCTTGTTTTGAGATCTGCTGCTGCTGCCTTCCTATCAATACGGCTTCCTTAGCAAAAATATTCCCTATAATATTCTTCACCACAAGGTAGCCTCCATCAGGTCCCATAAATATCTTGCTACATGGACACTGCAAAATTCACTCATTTACTATGATCTCAGGATTTTGTTGAAAGACTACAAATGCAGCTATGTTAAGGTTGTAATTCTCGTTCATTTTTCAGTGGTGGTAGGACAAAGACTGTTGCTCATATAAAGGTGGCTAGGAAAGGATGCAACTAAACTGTGGGACAGACAAGAATCTTTTTTTATTTGAGCTAAGGTTGCAAAATTCATGCCTACATAATTTTCTTGAATTTGCACAAGAGATTCCAGTTAAGTAACTTTGTGTTTTCTTCCTGAGGGATGAAAATATTTTAATGTTGACTCCAATGGTAGTTTGCTATACAATTGTAACATTAAAATGCTTTGAATTTCCTTAGGGCCTTAGAGTTCAGACAGAGTAAAGGGAGAGCAAGCAGGAGGGACAATAACAGCAGTTAAAATATAATTTTATTTTTTCTCATTAAAAACCAAAGACAGAGAAATGTTACAAAAAGTATTAAAGAGAAGCACTTCATCAGCGGTCATCTCCATTTCCAGACCTTCATCTTAAAGTATCATAACAATATCTTCTAGATCAGTCGCAACCCACCCACCCCACCCCAAAAAAACCCCACTCTGCAGTATCTATGGAACAAACGAGGGCAGCTTTATATGCATGAAAACACATTCCAAATTATCCTGACCATGACAGGTGCTGGTGGTTTATAGGTCACGTCTAATCTGCCAAAACAGCAAACTCACATTACGCTTGCCCTTATCATTACTATAGGAAGGCCAAATCCTTTGGGATTATAGATTCTCAACATGTGCACTGACCTATAAAAACAATCATCTTTAGGATTAGAAGATAAAAGGGAACCTCCCACTCCTTCAAGTAAAAGAAAAGAACAATTGCTTTGAAAAACAAACTACATTGTTGCATGTCAATTTTGACCTTGTCAATAAACCAATTAAGAATATAATCTTGCCTTATTTAATTGGTAGTGGTTTAAGAAGGATTGTGCCCATCCATCCCTGATTTCTTCTTAAATAGACTGGTATAGCAAAGAAATAACTCGTGTATTTCTTTATTCTTTATGCTTTTGCCACCAGGTTTTATAAACCCAACATATTTACAGCTAGGATTAAGATGAGTTAATTCATTCTGACGAGGAAGCTTCTGGCCTTAAGATTCCAATGATAAAAGGAATCTCTGAGCTGTTGGCTATTTTCCCCCCATTTGAGCCATCTTCAACTCCTATAGTCTACTTTTTTAATTGCAGAAGACAGCAGAAATCTTTTCCAAACAGTGGTGAAGTTATAGTTTCCAATATTCTTTAATTAAAAAATACATAACATAGGAGTGCTTTCTAGATTGTTCTTCATATGGTTAGTATACCAGTCCAGACTGAAATGTCTTTGACATATATAGAGAAGACAATATAGCACAATGTTAAAACTTACTTTCCTAATCTCAGAATACACTATAGGCTTCACTGGATTAGCACAAAAACCTGAATAATTGGGCCAAGTGATTACATGAATAATTGATATCTAAGATGACAATGCAAAGCAGAACCTATTACCAAGGTGTAGAGAAGAGCTGCGCTTGAAATACATGGGTGCCTCTGTAAAGTCACTCTTATTAAAACATGTCTTCTTTTTGCTTTGCCCATTACTCATACCAGCAAAAAAACCCAAAATTAATAAGATAGATCATGATCCTGTAAAGTATCATGATCATGATCCTGTAAAGTATTTCCTCCCACATATGTATGTCTGACATAACATCCACCTAAACCAGTGGGTTATGCATCAAAAGCAATTTATAGTCATATTCCTGCCTTCTGTGTTACCATCTCATATGACTAGAAATTGTTTACAATGTGGGTGCTATAAGGCATGTTGTTGGATGCGCAAACCAATCATTGGAGGAATTCATTCCAACTTTGTTAAGAGAACATCATGTGACATTCACATGGCTTTATAAAGGATGCCCAGACACATCAAAGCAAATTATAATTTCTTATTTATTCTTCTACCTGCAAATATCTATCCAGTTATAGAATATCCTACGGCTCTGTAGAGCTCTAATTCTATTTGTGCTGAACAAAATACATAGCTTTCTCTTTAACTTCATACTCTACTAATTTCAAAGCAATTCAGATGCTGCACAGCTTCTTGCTATAGCCTTATAACTTGGTGGCACAAAACCAAATAGGTTTACCTACCCTGGGAGATGAAGAACATATGTTTCTAGTCTTTCAGACTCATACTAAAAGCAGAGACCCTTCCAATTCCTGGATAAATCCTAGTCTACTGAACATTCCTACATAGACGGAATAATTCTATTAGATAAAGAACAAGAAAGCAGCTTACAAGTTGGCCTTTCATGGGCAGTTGCTCATTTATAATATATTGTGAAGATGGTCTCAGGCTGCACTCAACTCCTAGGACTGCATCCATGCTGTTTTCTTGGTGATGTTATGGAATTGGTTTGCGATGTCTTTCCCCCACTATGGATTGAGATTTCTTTCGTATTTACCAATCCAGTTAACGACTTTGGACTGCCCAGGTGGTTCTACATACAGGCCTTACCTAACTTAGCTTCTGAAATAAGCCAAGTTTGGCTAAGTGCTCCCACCCACTGAAGATCAGTTATAAGGTAATGTGCTCACTCCATTTATAAGAAACCTGCCTTCTGTGAATCAATAGTATCTTGATAATTGCATCGCAACGTATGTGCCTAGCTTGCTCGATGCACATACATTTCCTTTCTGACAATCTTCAGAAATTATAATGGCATGTAAAACAGACAAGAGACAAGACACCAATCTCCTGACACCAAGGATCCTGGTACCTATTCAAAATATGTGCCCTCCATGTCCCTGGGGCAGCTGATTGATATGATGATTCCTGAGACTTTTGAGTATATCGTTCAGTAGGCACATGATGGGTCTTCAACTGGAGCTATTGGGCTCAAAGGCTTCAAGGTGCTCAGGGATCGGAAGGCAAAAATTGACGGATCATACACAAAGTGAGGTGGGGGCCGGCTCCCGTTGATATGCTGCATAGAGAAGAAGAAGAAAGAGATAATTACCAGTGCCCATGGGGTGAATGAATGACAGCACATGGGGAAGTGATCATCATTTATCTCTTTATTAAACTACATCATCATAATTGAGGTAGTTCAAAAGCTTAATACTGTACATTAGTAATAAATCAAAATCTTAGAAAAGATTGAAGAAGTAGGAAAGCAGAAAATATGCCTTCAATACACTGTAATATCAATGAAGTCCTGACAGTAGTGAAATCATGACTGCAAGTTAAGTTTTCTTATGTGTGAATTTTTGGTTTAAAGAGTACTAGGTACTTTATAGTACTAGGCGTTTTACAATGCTAGGAAATTCCCTTCAGTATATTTATATTTTTATACTTATTCCAGAAGAGAAGAGTAATTAAAGAATCGGAAAACAATTATTCATCCATCCCCAACTTTCTATCCTACACTAGACCGTCAAAACCATACAAAATCTTTTCATCAGAAATCTCCTCACAACTTAATGTCTTTGCTTAAATGCTTTCATTAATGTTAGAAGGTCATGAAAATGAATTAAGAAATTGTTTTTAAAAGCTCAGTAATAATGACTTAGCAGTAATAAATGTACATAGTCTTGACAGAAAGATAGTGGAGGGCCTGGGGTGGGGATATGAAGAGAATTGTAGTCCAGACTATCTGAAGGATAGAAGAAAATAAGCCATTACATGCATGCATGTATGTATGTAAAATAAAAAATTCCAATAATAACAATTACCCGAACAAAATGGTCAGTCAAATGATAAAAAGTAATCAAACCAAAATATCTAGTTCTCTCATTTTTTTCTAACAGTAATTTATATACAATATAAAAAAGTTTAAATATTCTTTATATACAATATAAATATATGCATGCATGAACTTTAGGGTATTTTTACTCAGCTGTAGCTAAGAGCCTGTTTCCTGATGCAATACGAACATTACTTTTGAAGAAAAATGTTGTGGTTATTGATTTGACTTGTGCAATAAACCATAGCAAGAGACAGAATAGATAGGCTGAGTCAAAGCAAGAAGCATATATGCAGCATGTGGAAAAACAAACTTGTTGATCTGTTGCAGCAAAACAGTGTCTTGTAACACTTTAAATCTAATTGATTTATTATAACACAATTTTTCATGGACTGGATCTCACTTCATTGGAACTATAAAATACCTTCCTTGAGGGTATACATATGGCTAACTAGTTATGGCATAAGTGGTTATATTTAGCAATAGCATTTAAGACTTATATACCACTTTACAGTGCTTTACAGCCCTCTCTAAGTGGTTTACAGAGTCAGCATATTGCCCCCAACAATTTTTTATTTTACCCACTTCGGAAGGAAGGAAGGCTGAGTCAACCTTGAGCCTGGTGAGATTTGAACTGCCAAATTCCAGACAGCCGGCAGTCAGCAGAAGTAGCCTGCAGTACTGCACTCTAACCACTGTGCCACTGTGCCAAATGCATTTCTTTTTATGGACTCACTGAATTATCTTTTAAATAATGGTTCTTATATTACTGAAAAAAGTCTCCTTTTTAAAAGAAGTACATAAAAGCATGCTAGTGGGCATTATTGCTAGGAATACCATATTCTAATTTGCCCCAAAGTGCTACAGTTTTTCAGGTTATAATTCTAATAATATGCAATTATAATAGCATATATCACATGCTATTAATGGTGATTGTAAAGTAAAACTCACAAATACATTAGTTAGCGTTTTATTAATGTTTACACAATCATTTGGTTGAGACCTACGGTTGATTTTCTCTCTCTCTCTAATGCAGGCGTGTCAAACTCAATTTCATTGAGGGCTACATCAGGATTGGGTTTGACCTTGGAGGGCCGGGTGGGGGTGTGGTGTGGGCGTGGCCATGGTGGGCGTGGCCATGAGTGTGACACGGGACCGCACCTCCACAGACATGGTTTTATAAACTTGTAAAAATAGGGAGATTTTGTTTTTTTTAATACTTACTTGATCTACTTGATCACCTTATGAGAGAGAGACCAGATCAAGAAACTGACTCCATAGGAAGACTAGAACTATAAATTATTGACATAGGCTAGTAGCAGAATTCTGCAAGCCTGAAAGGTAAAATATTTTACTTTACCTCCCTTTTATAACCTTCTGAGTCAAGGATGACCTCCTGCAGTATTCCGGAGGTCCCGTTTTGGGCCTGGAAGGCCTCCTGGACTACTCCTGAGGCCAAAAGCTGTTGCAGGGGAGTGGCCCACCGGCACCCCATTTTTGCTAGCAGAGGCACCGCGAGACAGTCCTTTGCTATTTCCAGACCAGCCCTACAGGCCAGATCTAAGCACCCCGAGGCCCAGATCTGGCCCACAGGCCTTGTGGGCTTGTGTTTGACACCCCTGTTCTAATATCTTTTCCAAATATGTATATTTTATATGTAAACTTTTGCAGTTATGTTACTTTGATTCACTTTTGCCAACTGTGTCTGCAATTCTGCCTATAAGTTAACCCACAAATACATTTTCAGAGAAAAATTAAATATGGATGTTTTTACATACAAGTGCACCTGAAGGTGGCATAATGGACAACTAAGTTATCCATTCTCTCTCTAGGATTTTGAAATAAAAATATATGTTCCTGTTTTAAAAGTCACAAAAGTAATTGGTTGTATATTCTGAGGGTCAATATGAGAGTATATTCTTTAGTAAACTGAATCTGCTGGACAGAGGGACGAATTAATATCTAAATTGTCAAGACTGAATAGTCCAATATTGTGACATTCTCTTATCCAGTTTTATTTCATGAAAACTTCTGACACCAGCAAAGGGTTAACTTTTGATTTGTTTATACCTCCTATAGCTATAGTTTCTTAATACAGGTGCTTCCTAAACTTTAGATACCCCCCAACTATATTATGTGTTTCAATCTCAAGTGACATCAATGCTATCAATGCTTTGCATTTTATTCTCTGTAGTTTTATGTAACCAGTCTACAGAGTTATGCATAGCTGTTTATAGATTCAAAATAAGAAAACAGTGCAAATAAACAATATTTTAAAGAAGTTAACATTCCTGGACAAATTGCTTTTATTTTAGCCTCACCAGTTGGCCCTTCAGAAAACAGATGTTTCATTTCTTGTCAAAGAAACCACTTCAGTTCTTCTATGCATGGGTGTCTGCAATGGCAGCCATGACACTTTCTCAAATATAAAAATAGAATAGAGTAGAGTAGAGTAGAGTAGAATAGAATAGAATAGAATAGAATAGAATAGAATAGAATAGAATAGAATAGAATAGAATAGAATTCTTTATTGGCCAAGTGTGATTGGACACAGAAGGAATTTGTCTTGGTGCATACGTTCTCGGTGTACATAAAAGAAAAGATTCATTCATCAAAAATCATAAGGTACAACACTTAATGATAGTCATAGGGAAATACTCAATATAAATCTTAGGGATACTAGCAACAACATTGGAAATAAAAAGAGTTTTCTGTTTTTTGTGAGACAAGTAGTATTATTTAGCTCTATCTTGTACTGAAACGGATTTCAGCATTATCAAACAAAACCTTTGTTATAAAGAAAAACATTTACAGCACAAAATAATTTTAATATGAAGGACATTTCTAACAAAGATGCCTCATTCAGCTAGCAAATAGGATGAACCTTCCATTTCACTTGGGCAGTTCGGTCTTATTTCCCCATACAAAGGCTTGTAACCTTTTTAGAAAAATCATACCTATTCTTTCAGCTACATTTTTCAAAAAATAAAAACTTTTGTACAGAACACTATTTAATATATGGATTTTTGCAAACCACTGCCCTTACTAGTATATATTGTTGTGTTTGTGATGTTGTGTAAGGCTTTGCTGCTTAAAAAGATCATGATTTTGTATACCAACTCCATTTTGGTTCATACTTTGGCTCTGGAAGGACAAGTTAGGACAGTGTACAGACAAATGCAAATCAAACCAATTTCTCTCTCCCCTCCCCATGCCAAAGTGCCAGCTTAAGAGAAAAGAAACTAGTGCTCAGCCTAGAAATTAACCAACTATAGCTCAGTTTCATGAAATCATATCCAACATCCTCCTACACAGCCAGAAGGCTTGGCTAACAGCAAGAACACAGCAGGAGAGGCATATTTTAAAAAGTCTCCATTCACCAGCCGCCTGCTGTGGCATTATGGATGGTGTGTGCTCTGGCAGGCCTCAGAATTGGAGAGTAACATAGCAACCTTTATTTAGAATTAAAGGGGCAGAATTAATCAGACAGATTTGTCCTTCCCCGTGCAAGGAAGCTGCTTGCCAGTACTCTACTGAGAGGGAGGCAAGGAAAATGGACAAAGAGGTTGGCACTTCTCTTCCATGAGAAATGCCAACCAACAGGATCGAACAAACAGCAGCTGGAACTTTTGGCTGCGGGCAAGCGATGGAGCTAATCCATCAAGGAAAGAGAGAAGAGAACCTTAAACTCCCTAGCGTAGCATTGCAGGAGCAAAGCCAGGGTTGGAGTTTTTTAAGGGGTCGTATTAATGGAAAACGCAAGATTTCACAAAAATACGGCTCACTGGACAACATGCCAGTTATGATGAAAATACTCAAGTATGGAAAACGTTGGCTTAGACGAGCACGCCCCATCCTGGCTGCTGTCTCCACCCACAATGGAGAACGGCCTGGTTTTTTGCCTGTTTTCGAGCTATTTTCAGGCTGTTTTCCGGCGCTCCCGCACCCGCAAAGACCAGCTTGCCAGAAACCTGAAGAGCAGCTGGTGACGGCACATGTGCCTACAGAGAAGGCTCTGCGTGCCACTCATGGATCTAGCATATGAGTTACCAAAACCAATCTAGATAGACATAAAAGTTTACTACCTGGAAAATTGAGGACATGTAAAGGATAATAAGCCACTAGCAATATTAGTTACAATAAAGGAAATCTTACTGGTTTTCCATTGTATTTATTCATTATTTTGGAGCTCTCATTGACCAAAAAACTCTGCAGACTGATTACATAAAACTACAGAGAAT